GCGACACGTTAGGCACATCTGAAGTTATCCTTGGAATCACGAATGCATATGTTCGAAATTTGGAATTTGACTCAAAGTGCGGGGTAAAGATTAATTCCACTTCTCCACTTGTTACAGTGTTGAACGAACCAAGGCACGATACTTCAATTTTTTTGTTAAATCTACCTAACTTTAGTTTTACACTCTTCACTTATAAAGCTGGCTTCACTGCCACAGTCTAGTAAAGCCCTGCAAGGGATGGCTTTACCATTGGAATCACTAACTTTAATGAGAGCAGTACACAGTAATACACGTTTTGATTCACCTTTAGAATAACTAAATTGTCCTGTACATGTTGTGGCATTTGTAACGACTTCATTCTTTGGTAAGAACACTTCGGCTTTGGGGGAGAGTGAGGACGTTTGTTTTGGTTTCTCATTTTCACTAGTTTTGATATTTCGATCAAAATGAAGAACAGTATGATGAGGTAACTTACACGTCATACATTTATGTAAACTACGACAGTTTTTCACTAAATGAGGCTGAGAAGATAAACAATTAAAACAAAGTTTGTGTTTCTTAACAAATTCGATTCTTTTTTGGACACTTAAGTTTAAAAACTTACCACATTTGTGAAGAGAATGATCTTCCTTGCACATTATACAACTGTTTTTACTCGACACTAAAGAAGTTAATTTGGAATTAGAAAATTTCCTAAAATCTTTAGATTGGTTTCTACTATTCTGAAGGGTTCTAGCGTGGTCTTTTAGAAACTCGAGTAAATTATCTAAAGTACCTAATTCATCTTTTTTCAAAGTTCTTTCCCACCAAAATTTTATGTTTTTATCTAATTTCTCAGTTATCAGATAAACAAAAAGAACATCAGAAAGATCAGAAACTTCTAGCTTAAGAGTTCTCAAAGAGCGTATACACATTCATTCACTACATCAACACAATGTAAAATAGCTTGAGCTGAATCAGAAACATTTGGCAAATTAAACATTTTACGGATTAATGCATTAGTTAATTCTCTTTTATTAGAATAACGTTCCTGTAAAAGTTGCAACGCTATATCATAATTAGCATCAGAAATAGGAATTGACTCAATAATAGACAGAGCCTTTTTTTTACAAGAAGCCTTTAAATATTGAAACTTCTGACATTTAGAAATATTCGGATTGTTATCTACACTAGCCTTAAAAAGATCATAGAAACTAATCCACTCATCTATATTTTTCCCCTGTAAAGGTAGAAAGTTCTAATTTTGGTAATCGAACGTCAGACGAATTTACTTTTGCTACACTACTTGTTTCGATAACAGAGTCACTGGAAAGTTTCTGTAACTTTTTATTTATAGTTATCCATAATTCATCTAAAGTTTCTTGTATTGTTTGTTGTTCCGTAATGAATGTATCACAATCTTTTTCAGGACACAAACAAAATATTTCCTCATAAATAGAACGAAGCTCACTGTTAAAAGCATTTAGTTTCGTTTCGAACAACTTTACCTCTAAAATTTCTGCTTGTTCTAAATTCGAATTTACCTTGCCTTTAAACGTTGTTATATTGCTTTTTAGAACCTTCTTTTTAGTTAAAACTGGTTTCAAATCAGCCATTATGAATAACAATAAATATTATACTAACAACTCTAGCAAAAGAAGATGAAATATTGGAACGTACTCACCCCAATGTTGAGGTTTCTACGCTACACCATGCCACGGGAATATTCCACAAATCGAATCGAAAAGAACACTAAGCTGTTTATTAATCCACAAATCGAAAGTGATTTAACTTGCTAATATTTGAATAAATCACATCATATCCAAAGATCGCTAACTCTTCTCTCCGGCTCGACGGACCAGAATGTTAGTGAATAAGTTCACAAAAAAAGGTAAGCGGACTGTAATATATCACTTGTTTATTTTACATAACACTTTGAAATAGAAGGAATGCCGTCCACGTGACGACACAGCTCACATCACTCCAAGCACAGTAGCAATTAATAAAACAAAAAAGAATAGAATACAAATCACATAAATTATGAGTTGAAAGTTCGTTACCATAGCAACCAGAATTGAATCATCAGGCAGCAACGCCATCTATTGTTGCAAAGACACACTAGTAATTCGTTTGGTAACAAAAAATACTAAACAAATGATGAATCTCCGTTTAAAGAATTTCCTTAATACGTTTAATCGATGAAAGGACTCCCATTTGTTTTATGATCCAACTCACGTTTCGAAGTGCTCTTTGATCTGGAATTCGCGCAATCTCATTGTATAATGTATCCTTCGAGTATGCTTAGTTCTAAATTTGACATTAGATATGCTTGATGTGGATAAGCATTGATATCCATTAGCAAAATCTCTGGGCAAACAGTAACCCCTAAACTGTCTTAACGCGACTTTGTCCACCTATCTGAAACCGACTGCAGAACCTCTATCAAAGACATGCAGCTGGGTACAGTCATTTTCTGGTGATTTCACTTCATACAACAAAGCAGTCGCCTTGCGTAGAAATGAGATCTTTCGTAAACGAGGGAAAGCAAGTTCAATGTGCTCTCTCAATTTCAGTCCTATTAAGTCTAGAACCCCAGATCAAGTTAGATCTGGATTCGTCGATAAATAGTACGCGGTGTCTTTCGTTTTAGCTACATTGAACTTTATGTACGACACCACCTTAAACAGGTCCTCGAGTGAGTGGGACATAAAACCATTGGTTTTTAAATTGACATAAAGTCCAACTTCATGAAATCTTCCTCCTGCAGCGGAATAGCTGATTAGAGTTCCTGTTGCAGCCTTTAAGTCCAAATTTAACTCTTTAATCACTTGGGGGTTTCTTTCAGCCGACAAAGCGGCCGAGCGATAAAATTGCTGAACACTGGTAGTTCGGTTCGAATCCTGCGAACGGGCTGGCTGCATGGGCGTTTTCGTGGTTTTCCCCATATGTAACGTGTATACGAGCCAGTTTCCCTTAGAAAGTCCTTTACGAAGGGCATCCCTCCCCTTAGGCAGATAGCCCTAGTGTGCTTTGCCGTATTCTCAATACATCACCTTTCAGCCGACAATGACAGGAAGCGATGTTTGGATGCAGCTGTAGGTTTTATTTGCTCTTGATCAAGTTCTGTACTAACCGATTCATTTCTTAAATAGCGGTACCAAGTTCCTGCTGTGATAGCTTGAGGGATATTCAAATCCTTGGCGCAATTTTAGGTATATTGCATTTTTTAATTTAAAACTTTCCTTTTATCCATTTCAAACTATAAGCTTTCTATTTTTAGCACTTTCTATTTTTTTTATTTTATTTTTTCCTCAATTTGGAAACTTTATTGCACAAATTATTATTAAAAACTTCTTATTTAGTTTAGTTTCAAAATTATTTATCACTTTATTTCTTCTAAAATAAATTTTGGCTTGAAATATGTTTACTTTTGATTTGTAATAGTTAATTTTGATTTACAAAGTTTCTGAGCAATTTTAAATTTTCTTTGGTTGGAAATTTATTTAAATATTTGTTTAGTACTTTGCTTAAATTTATGCAATGGCTTTTACTTCGAGAATTTTTATTTGTACTGTTTGTTTTTACAGTATTTTTTTGTTTTAGGGTCACGTCGGAGCAGTTTATGTCTTGACAATTGATTAAAATTTTAAAAAATGGAATTCTTTATTTTATTACATTTTTAAAGGATTTTAATTTAATTAATTTTTATTCAGCACTTTCTTTTGAATTATTTCAAGAATTCGCCATCATCCAGATATAATTCAGAAATGTAGCTCCGTTGAAAATTCTTCGGCTGCTCCTTGAAAAAGACCAAGGAATTTTCAACTGTTTGCTTTATTAATTTTACTGTCTTATATTAATTATATTAATTTTATTATTTTATTTTATTGAATTGTTTTGTTTTTGTTTCAGTTCTGATATATGTATTTATTGTGTTTAATTTTTATCTCATGATTATCATAAAGACTCAAAAGTTCCTTACTCTGTCTCAATTTTAACAGCCATTGGTGGTAGACATTCACTGCAAGATATTAAAATGTTTTCAATGACAGAGATAGTCATGTTAAAATAAAAAATAATAATTTTGTAAAAAATATGTTATACTTTATGTTACACATGAGGAAAAACAAGGAAATTTCACGTAAGGAAACCCTTCGTAGCGATTCGAGTAATCAACACTTCCCGCTCTTATCTAATATAAAGTTCTTATCTAACTCAGTTCTTATTAGCGACGTTATCAATTAACCACCAAATATGCATATAAGTGACAGACTTTCTAACTGACAAACGTTTTTTTTTCTAAAGTGACAGACTTTCAAGTAGAGCATATTTACATGGAAAGAATATAATAAGAGGCATATATATATGTTATAAGCAAAGTTGTAAGTAATATATATATATATATACATATTAACAAACAAGTAAATACGTAAAAAAGCAAATTTAAAGTTAAAATAATGTGCAAAGATATAAAAGATTTAATTTTCGAACTAATCTACAATATCATTAAAATTCAGATAGCATAAGTAAATCAAGTGCAAAACCAAACCATAAAAATAAGTTCACCAATTTAGCAAATTAAAATTAATCTAAAAAATTTTTTTTAATGCATAAGTGACTGACTGTTGAGCATGCAGGAGACAGACTTATCAAGGGGAAGTTGCCTCCAAACCTAACTCTTCAATCATTCAATTCGTGTTTCGTCATTCATGCAAGCAAGGGTAAAAGTCAAAACCAAAGTAAATACATAGTTAAGGATGTCCAAAAAGAAATAACAACTAAGTGGTACCTTGAGTAATTAGCAATTAAAAATTAAAGGTCTAAAAGGAAAATACCAATAATGAAGTATTTTGAGAAATAGTAAGTAATGTAAAGTTTAGTATTAAAGCAAAACAAGAATATCTTGCCAAAGAATTTTATCTTATTTTTTTATGAATTTCATTATCTCGATTTTCCCTCTAGTAAAAAAGTAGAAAATAATAAATTATGCAATTAGAAGCATTTTGCTTTTTGAAATTTACCTTTTTTCGTTGCAGCAAATTTTGTCTGCATGTTATTCTTTGTGTTTGGAATCCACATCCAGCTCATCTCCAACAAAATAATTTCTTTTTGCTCTCTGTTAAAAGAAAAAGGACTTTATTAACAGCACAGAAACTTTTGCATTATAATATATACAGATGCTTTTTGAGAATTAAGTATCTTCTATTTTGCATCGTATAGGGAAATAAACAACACTAAACATTTAGTCCAAAGATTATACTTCTCCCCCCCCCTAAAAAAACTGTTTTTACTTCCTTGTATTAAGTAAAGCACGAAAAATTTCGGGTATCACATTTCACCGAAAATATCCATTTCAAACGTTCTCGAAACAATTTGAACGATGTTGTTTTTGCGTGAAATCTGTACGTACGGACAGAAAAAAAAGGCTGTTTTTGCTAAAAAGGATAGTAAAATGGATTAGAAATGGATTCAGAAGAATTCTTTTCTTGACGTCTGTACTTACGTACGTATGTATGTATTTTGCATAACTCAAGAAAGAATAGCCGTAGAACATTTAAATTTTGTATATAGGACTTCTATAATATGTAGTTGTGCATCTCCCTTTTTCGTTTCAATCGGCCACACCAGTCGTACATAAATCTATATTCCCACTCTGTTACCTGCTGGGTGAGCTTAGTATTTTTATTCTTATATATTGGCAAATTTTGCGTTTTGGGTTTTAAAATTTAATGAATTATTTAGTATTTGTGTTCCGGTTAAGATTTTACGCTTTTAGTTTATCTGCATGCGATTGCTGCAGAAATATCAATAATTTAAAACTTTATGTGGCGAGTTAAGCCTTTTGTCAGTTTCTGCACCTTATATGTCTTTTTGCTGAGTGGGACCAATTGTAAACTTTCAGTTTTGTGCACCGAAAAAGCTGCCTTCTTCCCCGCTGGCCGAACTGCTTGTTTTTTTGCCAGAAACTCTAATTTTAATTGTAAATTTTTTTTTTTAAACTTTTTTAACTGTGTCTGGTGTTTAAGTTTTTCTGTATTTTACAATTTTTACGGAAGATATTTTGAATTTTTTTTGTAATTTTTGCTTTGCCTCGAAGGAAGAACTGAATTAATTCGAAAAAGAAATGTATCTCTAATGATATTATAGGAAATAAGTTTAAATCAAATGCAGCAAAAAACGTGTATAATTTAATAGGCCGCACAAGGAAGTCATGTGGTGTACACATAGGATTTTTTTTAAAATAAGAAAGTTAAAGAAATGCTGTAAAATTATGGAAATAAAATAAGACAAAGAAATGTTTTTATAAATTAAGTTTTTATTTAGAAAGTTAATGAATAAAAGCAGAAAAATAATTTATCACATAATTTCATGGAAACACAGGAAATTAAATTCTCTTTACAAAATTCATCTTCAGTTTTATACCACAGAAGTGGGGAGACATCCTTTATTAAGATAATGGTTTGTACTTTTTAAAAATCCAATTTAATTAATACATTTTATTATTTAATTAATATTTTATTATTTAATAATTCATGTGTTATTATGTAAAATAACAGATGAATTCTTTTTTTCTCGATAATATGTTGACTATCAAAATATTCGACCGAAAAATCATTTTTAAACAACCAAACTAAAAAACAAAAAAAAAAAAAACAAAAAAAAAAAAAACTTTTTTACTTCCAATAATTCTGTTACTTCAAATGATCAAAACCAAATCGAATATTTTTCGAAACGTCGCCAAAAAATCAGAAATTGCGATAAAATTTTCATATAAACTTCATTAAAATAATTTTTTTCGCCGTATTCCATGGTGCAAACACTTAAATTCTGAGAGTTCTAGTTTGTTTGTTAAACGAGGATATGTGAGAAAATCAATTAAACAATAAACTTAACAAAAAATAGCTATCGAATTTCTTTAAAAGCAATATGAGAGTAAGTAATCCATAATGAGAGTGTGCGCAATATTCGAGATGAATAGCTAGCTTATCAGAAAATAATTTTTAAAACAGATGGACTTTGACTGTGCAGACAAACAACATGACGAGTTAAAAAAAAATATCTAATAAATCGTGTCTAGTTTTAAAATATTCTAAAAAGACGTTAAAGTACTATTGTTTTACGTTTCTTTCAAAGCAAGCTGACGAGTTTGTTTTAAAACGTTTGAAAGTTCAAATCTTTATAATGGATACATTTTTGGATTCTAGATTTTTAAGTCTTGCTAAATAAAATACTACGTATCACGCACACACATAAAAAAAAAAAAAAAAAAAAAAAAAAAAAAACTCATCAGCTTTTAACGTAAGGGGGGAAAAATACATATGTGCTTATGAAATAATAACAGGAATGAAAAGGAGATTTTAGAAAATAAACAACAACTTCATTCTTGTATTAGTAGTTAAATTTTTTTGCAATTAAAATTAAGAATTTCTGCGTTGAAATAGGCATCAGTTCTGCCATCGGATAGTAAGGCAAAATTTTAGGTGCACAAAACTGAAAGTTAACTTATGTCCCTCAGTGGACAAAAGACACTAAATTTGGTGCACCAAATAACTTTATTCACTCTCCTACTAACAGTTTCAAATGTAAACAAGTGGTGGCCTCCTCTGGTCTAGCGCCATTTAAACAGTTATGCTGTAGGCTTGAAAACCTTAACCGGAACATAAAAAACGCATAATTCAGTCACTTTTAAAAGCAAAAAATTCACAATTTACTCAAGGATTAAAAAAACTGAGCTCACCGAGCCGAGTAACAGATTGGGTATATATATACATGATATTTTGGCAGTGGTGAAGCTTGGCATCAGAGTTCAGGCATGGTTTTAGCAGAGTGGTAAGGCGATATCCAAAGAAGACACACAGTGGAATTTCACTTTTATATATATGTATTAGGTACTGATATCTTTTACCTTTGGTGCCCATAAAAACCAGTTACCTTTTTCTAAGCAATGGAAGGTTTTTTTAATATATTGTACCTAAGCATCCCCCAGCAAGCTAGTTCGCTGATTTTGTTGGAGAGGACATGCCTTGTAATCGTCAAAATGTTATTGTGTTATTCAGTTTTGCATTTCATTATAATTTTTTTGTATTGCATTTTTCTATTATATTAAATATGTGTATGCACAAGAAGAACTTATTCAATTAATCATAAATTGTGTGTTATATTTTCCCATCAAAGTTTGCAGATCAATCTGTATTATAATGGAAATATTTTCATTAACAAAAATTTGAAAGACTTTTATTGAACATTTACTTTATGGAACTATTTTCGTCAAGACAATTTACAAAATTTACTTCGACATTCTAAGAACTTTAAAAAATTATATTTTGTGTTAATTTATTATTTAGTTTTATTTAGAGACTATCTTGTCATTGTAATAGTTAATAATCTGTAGATGAGAAAGGTCATGAACAATGACGGGGCACAGGAATACCTGCATGCTATGTCCTTGATGCTTCTTTCATGGTCTTTCCTCATATGAGAAATTTTCGCTTGCTTCACTAATATACTAATGCTTTTCTCTCAAAAGTCTCTCCCAACCTTTCTTTTGATGTGGGAGATGAATATGTAAGATATAATAAAATACGATGGCTGCTTCAAGAAACGACTGATGATCGCAAAATTAATTATTCGAAATTTGGTATTCCCCCCCCCCTTAAATTCATCTGTTCTCCCAAATTCGAGATCCCTCCATGTTACACAACAACCTAAAATTAATCAATTACAGATTAGCTGTATTTATGCATCATACTTAGTATTAATACTCTTCGCAAGCAACTACGTCATTCCTTTTCCTAGCTTCCGCCATGCAAACACCTCTAATGCTGTTATACCCTCCTTTGTTCTTATTCTAAGATGACGTAACGTGTATATAAAAATTATTGTAATTGCTTATGATCGAAAAGTATATTGTCTCTAAAGAAATGATTCTGATGTCCTAAAAATAAACTTTGGTGATTCGTTAAGAACCTAGTTTTCGTTTATGTGTCCATGAATACTACTACACAGACTCAAGCTGCAGCGCATGAAAATTTCCACCTTCGGCCAAGTCTACAGCCAGAAGTTAAAAGTACCGGATTTCTCCTACGTAATTAAAATACTATATATATAGAGAGAGAGGGGGAGATAGAGAGAGATAGAGATGTAGGTATAGATAAAGATAAAGATATGGTGCGCAACTCCATATTATAGCTGCCCATATACAAAATTTCAATTTTTCTGAGGATACTCATTTTTGAGTTATGCAAGATATATACGTACGTATGTACGTACAGAAGTGACGAAAAGTCCCCTTCTGAATCCATTTTAAAACCATTTTACAAGCTCTTTGGGAAAAAGTCTTTTATTCTGCCCGTACGTACAGAAATCATGCAAAAACATCGTTCAAATTTAGTCGAAATGGATATTTTCGTTGAAATATGATACTCAAAGCTTTTTGGGATTAAAATACTTCCTTTACTTCAGACAAAGAAGCAAAGAAAGTTAAAACTACTTAATTAATTTAAAAACAAACATAATTTTACTTCGAAAAGTAAAACTAATTATCCGGAATTCCGGATAGTATTAGCCAGTACAAATGCCGATTCGGATAGTAAGAATCCGTATAAATAGAATGCTACGACTGTTATAGTTAATAAACAAACAGGAATTTTCACTGAAAGTAGAAATTATTGGTACTTCTTACGTAGGTTGCAAAACATCAAGATTTGATACACGCAGGGAATATTAACTCGTTTGAATATGCCACGCGAAAGGTGCAAGCGGGCAACTAAGAATATATATTTATGAATATGTGCATGTTTATTTTGTGTTATTTTTTGCTAACAATGTTACGGTTTGCGATGAGGTAACATAAATATCTGATGTGGACACCACATGACTTCCTTGTACGGCATATTAAATTATATACACTTTCTGCTGCACTTCATTTACACTTATTTCCTCGATTTTCTCATTCAATCAGTTCAGTTCTCATTTCGTCGCAAGGCAAAATAGATAAAAATTCCAAAAAATTTTAAAATACAGAAAAAACTAAAGCATCAAATACAGTTAAAAAAAATCTGATGTGTACACCACACGACTTCCTTTTACGGAATATTAAATTATACCCTTTTTTTT